GGAGGTTCCTATAGCCCCACAGGGACAAGATTCTGAGGGTCCCTAAAGGGACCAGGCTCTGGGGGTCACCACAGCCCCAGAGAGACCAGGATCTGAGGGTCCCCAAAGAGACCGGGTTCTGGGGGTCCCTATAGGGACCAGGCTCTGAGGGTTCCTATAGCTCCATAGGGACCAGGCTCTGAGGGTCCCCATGGCCCTACAGGGACAGGGCTCTGGGGGTCCCCATGGCTTTATGGGGCAGGACTCTGGGGGTTCCTATAACCCCATAAGGACCAGGCTCTGGGGGTCATAACAGCCCCATAGGGATCAGGCTCTGGAGGTCCCTGCAGCCCCATAGGGACCAGGGTCTGGGGGTCCCCATGGCCTTATGGGGCAGGACTCTGGAGGTTCCTATAGCCCCACAGGGACAAGATTCTGAGGGTCCCTAAAGGGACCAGGCTCTGGGGGTCACCACAGCCCCAGAGAGACCAGGGTCTGAGGGTCCCCAAAGAGACCGGGTTCTGGGGGTCCCCATGGTCTTATGGGGCAGGACTCTGGGGGTTCCTATAACCCCATAAGGACCAGCAGGGTTTGGGGGTCCCCATAGGGGTCAGGCTTTGGGGATCCCCGTGGCCCCATAGAGTCTGGCCGGGGGGTCCCCATGGCCCACAGGGACAGGGCTCTGGGGGTCCCCATGGCCCTATGGGACAGGGCTCTGGGGTCCTCATGGTCCCATAGGGACCAGGCTCTGGGGGTCCCCATAGAGACTGGGTTCTGGGGGTCCTCGTGGCCCCATAGGGACTGGGTTCTGGGGGTCCTCGTGACCCCACAGGGACTGGGTTCTGAGGTTCTCCATAGGAACCAGTCTCAGGGAGTCCCCATGACCCTGTGGGGAACCCATAGGGTTCTTGGGATCCCCATGGCCCTATAGGGACAGGACTCTGGGGGTCCCCACAGCCCCATATGTCCCACACCTCACTCTCCTGCTCCTGTCCCTGTCACTGTGGCCACGGTGGTGGAGGTGTGGGGCCAGCCCCCCACGTATCGTGGCCACATCCTGCTCACCTGGTGGGTGACCCCAAGTCCTCGTGGAGCATTTGGGGGTGCAGGGTTGGGGGGGGACAAGAGCATCTGTGGGGTTCCTGACCCCTCCCTGTGCCACAGACCCCGCCGTGCTGAGATGTCACCGGACGCCTGAGCCACCCACCCCTTCCCCTGCAGTGGGGACCAGCCAGCCATGGAGACGGTGGTCATCGTGGCCATCGGGGTGTTGGCCACCATCTTCTTGGCCTCCTTCGTGGCGCTGGTGGTGGTCTGCCGGCAGCGGTACTGCCACCCCAAAGACCTGCGGCACCACTACGACACCAAGTGAGTCATCCCACGGGGGTGGCATCGTCCCCGTCCCCACCGGGCGAGGGGGGTTGCAGAAGGACCCCAAACCCCATGAGCACCATGGGGGTCCACCATCACCAGGAGGACGATGCTGGGGACGTATCCAACATCTTCTGGGCACTGATGCCCGAGGTGGTGGCCCCGTCCCCAGGAATGTCCCCCCATTGTCCCCACCGGGCGAGGTGGGGGGTGTAGAAGGACCCCAAACCCCATGAGCAATACATGGGACACGTCCACCATCACCAGGAGGACGATGCTGGGGATGTATTCAGCATCTTCTGGGCACTGATGCCCGAGGTGGTGGCCCTGTCACCAGGAATGTCCCCCATTGTCCCCACTGGGCGAGGTGGGGGGTGCGGAAGGACCCCAAACCCCATGAGCACCATGGGGGTCCACCATCACCAGGAGGACGATGCTGGGGACGTATCCAACATCTTCTGGGCACTGATGCCCGAGGTGGTGGCCCTGTCCCCAGGAATGTCCCCCCATTGTCCCCACCGGGCGAGGTGGGGGGTGTAGAAGGACCCCAAACCCCATGAGCAATACATGGGACACGTCCACCATCACCAGGAGGACGATGCTGGGGATGTATTCAGCATCTTCTGGGCACTGATGCCCGAGGTGGTGGCCCTGTCACCAGGAATGTCCCCCATTGTCCCCACTGGGCGAGGTGGGGGGTGCGGAAGGACCCCAAACCCCATGAGCACCATGGGGGTCCACCATCACCAGGAGGACGATGCTGGGGACATATCCAGCATCTTCTGGGCACTGATGCCCGAGGTGGTGGCCCTGTCCCCAGGAATGTCCCCCCATTGTCCCCAACAGACCCATCGTGGACCTGATGGGGACCACCGAGACGCCATCGGAGCCCTCGGAGCTGGAGTTGGACGACGTGGTCATCACCAACCCCCACATCGAGGCCATCCTGGAGAACGAGGACTGGGTCGAGGACGCCTCGTAAGCCCCTGCCCCCACCCCGTGTCCCCCACCACCACCGGGGGCACTGCCAACCCCCCAGTCGTGGGGTGCAGGTGGCAGAGATTTGGGGTCACCAAGTGCCAAGAGGAGATGTTCCTCAGATGGGTCTCTGGGTGGGAATGTCCCCAAAGGTCTGGGGGACACGGGGTATGGGCAGGGGGGGACACATGGGGGACAAGGACAGGGGGGTCCACCTGGATTCACGGCCTCCTCCTTCTCCACAGGGGTCTGGTGTCCCACTGCATCGCCATCCTGAAGGTGAGTCCAGGGGCTGGCACTGGGGACACTGGTGGTACTGGTGGCAATGTTGGCACTGGTCACAGTGGTGGCACCAGTGGTGCTGGTGGCAATGTTGGCACTGGTGGCAGTGGTCACAGTGGTGGCCCCGGTCACAGTGTGGTGGCACTGCGTGGGACTGGTTGCAATGATGGCACCAGTGACGCTGGTTGGCAATGATGGCACTGGTGGCACTGGTCACAATCATGGCACTGGTCGCAAGGGTGGCACTGGGGGTACCGGTGATGCTGGTGGCACTGGTGGCACTGGGGGTACCATTGACCCTGGTGGCAATGGTGGTATACTGGTGGTACCAGTGGCACTGGTGGCACTGGTCACAATGGTGGCAGTGATCACAATGGGGATACTGGTGACACTGATCGCAGTGGTGGCACTGCTGGTACCAGCGGTGCTGGTGGTGATGGTGGCACTGGTGGCACCATTGACACTGGTGGCAATGGTGGTATACTGGTGGCACTGGTGGTACCAGTGGTGCTGGTGGCACTGGTCACAATGGTGGCACTGGTGACACTGGACATCTTCTGGGCACTGATGCCCGAGGTGGTGGCCCCGTCCCCAGGAATGTCCCCCCATTGTCCCCACCGGGCGAGGTGGGGGGTGTAGAAGGACCCCAAACCCCATGAGCAATACATGGGACACGTCCACCATCACCAGGAGGACGATGCTGGGGATGTATTCAGCATCTTCTGGGCACTGATGCCCGAGGTGGTGGCCCTGTCACCAGGAATGTCCCCCATTGTCCCCACTGGGCGAGGTGGGGGGTGCGGAAGGACCCCAAACCCCATGAGCACCATGGGGGTCCACCATCACCAGGAGGACGATGCTGGGGACATATCCAGCATCTTCTGGGCACTGATGCCCGAGGTGGTGGCCCTGTCCCCAGGAATGTCCCCCCATTGTCCCCAACAGACCCATCGTGGACCTGATGGGGACCACCGAGACGCCATCGGAGCCCTCGGAGCTGGAGTTGGACGACGTGGTCATCACCAACCCCCACATCGAGGCCATCCTGGAGAACGAGGACTGGGTCGAGGACGCCTCGTAAGCCCCTGCCCCCACCCCGTGTCCCCCACCACCACCGGGGGCACTGCCAACCCCCCAGTCGTGGGGTGCAGGTGGCAGAGATTTGGGGTCACCAAGTGCCAAGAGGAGATGTTCCTCAGATGGGTCTCTGGGTGGGAATGTCCCCAAAGGTCTGGGGGACACGGGGTATGGGCAGGGGGGGACACATGGGGGACAAGGACAGGGGGGTCCACCTGGATTCACGGCCTCCTCCTTCTCCACAGGGGTCTGGTGTCCCACTGCATCGCCATCCTGAAGGTGAGTCCAGGGGCTGGCACTGGGGACACTGGTGGTACTGGTGGCAATGTTGGCACTGGTCACAGTGGTGGCACCAGTGGTGCTGGTGGCAATGTTGGCACTGGTGGCAGTGGTCACAGTGGTGGCCCCGGTCACAGTGTGGTGGCACTGCGTGGGACTGGTTGCAATGATGGCACCAGTGACGCTGGTTGGCAATGATGGCACTGGTGGCACTGGTCACAATCATGGCACTGGTCGCAAGGGTGGCACTGGGGGTACCGGTGATGCTGGTGGCACTGGTGGCACTGGGGGTACCATTGACCCTGGTGGCAATGGTGGTATACTGGTGGTACCAGTGGCACTGGTGGCACTGGTCACAATGGTGGCACTGCTGGTGCCAGTGGCACTGGTCACAATGGTGGAACTGCTGGTGGCACTGTGGGTACCGTTGATACTGGTGGCAATGGTGGTACCAGTGGTGCTGGTGGCACTGGTGACACTGGTCACAATGGTGGCACTGGTGGTACCAGTGATGCTGGTGGCACTGGTTGCAATGGTGGCACTGGTGGTAGTGGTGGCACTGGTGGTACCAGTGATGCTGGTGGCACTGGTTGCAGTGGTGGCACTGGTGACATTGGTCACAGTGGTGGCACTGCTGGTACTGGTGGCACCAGTGATGCTGGTGGCACTGGTTGCAGTGGTGGCACTGGTGACATTGGTCACAGTGGTGGCACTGCTGGTACTGGTGGCACCAGTGACGCTAGTGGCAATGGTGGTACTGGTGGCACCAGGCGCCCGCCCTGGCCCCACTGCTGTTGTCCCCCCTCCCCAGATCTGCCACACGCTGACGGAGAAGCTGGTGGCCATGACCATGGGCTCGGGTGCCCGCGTGAAGTCCCCCGCCAGCCTGGGTGACATCATCGTGGTGGCCAAACGCATCAGCCCCAGGTGACAGGGGGGTGGGGGGGGGAGGGTGACAGAGGGTGTCACCGCGGTGTCCCCTGAGGCTGACACTGTCCCCCCCTCCCTGGGCAGGTCCTCCACACCCCTCCATGGACGGGGAAACTGAGGCACGACCCAGGTGCGGGGTGGGCGAGCCACCATCTGGTGGTACCAGTGGCACTGGTGGCACTGGTCACAGTGTTGGCACTGGTGGCACTGGTGACACTAGTCACAATGGTGGTACTACTGGTATCAATGGCACTAGTGGCACTGGTGGCACTGGTCACAATGGTGGCAGTGATCACAATGGGGGTACTGGTGACACTGGTCGCCATGGTGGCACTGCTGATACCGGTGGCACTGGTCACAATGTTGGCACTGCTGGTACCAGCAGTGCTGGTGGCAATGGTGGCACTAGGGATACCAGTGACACTGGTGGCACTGGTCACAATGGTGGCACTGGGGGTACCAGTGACATTTGGTGGCACAGATGGTACCAGTGGCACTGGTAGCACTGGTGGCACTGGTGGCACTGGTCACAATGGTGGCACTAGGAGTACCAGTGGCACTGGTAGCACTGGTAGCACATGTCACAATGGTGGCAGTAGGGGTACCAGTGACACTGGTGGCACTGGTGACACTGGTAGCACATGTCACAATGGTGGCACTGGTCACAGTGGTGGCACTGGTGGCACCGGTGGCACTGGTCACAATGGTGGCACTGCTCACTATGGTGGCAGTAGGGGTACCAGTGACACTGGTGACACTGGTGGCACTGATCACAATGGTGGCACTAGTCACAGTGGTGGCACTGGGGGTAGCGGTGACACTGGTGGCACTGATCACAATGGTGGCACTGGTGGCATGGGTGGCACTGGTCACAATGGTGGCACTGGTCACAGTGGTGGCAGTAGGGGTACCAGTGCCACCGGTGGCACAGGTCACAATGGTGCCACCGGTGCCACTGGTGGCCGCGGTGTGTGTGTGTGGTGAGGTGTGAGGTGCCATGGCCACCCTCGTGTCCCCCCCCTGGCAGGGCGGCGGCGCTCCTGCTGTCCGTCAGCCACCTGGTGCTGGTGACCCGCAGCGCCTGCCGCCAGCCGGC